GATTTGGTGCTCAAGAAACATTTCATATCATTATCAGTGTTGCTGTTTTCATATACATATATTATTTTTGTGTAAACTGTAAAAAGAAAATTTCACAATCACATCTTTTCACATTTAACCTTTTCAACATTCTTTGATGAACAGAAAAAAACTGTTTATTCGAAATAGATTTTTGTAGCAAAAAAAGAAAAAAGAAAGCAAGAAAGAAAACTTTACTGTCACCTTTGATCATTTGAAAGCATCCTTGCCAAATAAAAGGTTTTAAAGAAAATCTTACTTATTGCAAATGATTTCATGTAAAAAATAAATTGAATGCAGCTTTCAGAATGACACAAAATGGTTTTGTCCTTCATCGGCAAAGCAATGAAGATGAATTAGCACTTCTTGCTGGTGTTGGTTCATGCGAATCCTCTCCCATCAGCATGGCGGCGTTTTTTTTCAACACCAACCACCCGAGCGCTAACACAGAGAGAGTTTGTTTGATTTGACAGGGCACCCAATCTCCCAGCACCGATCAGGCCTCATACTGTAGCAATGAGGAGGGCAGGAAGATAACAAGGCAGAAGCACCGCATTCACTCAGCCTGACACGATCAGATCATTTTTCATAACTTTGTGTTTCAAACAGTTGCACAATAAGAGTTCTTATGAATAACATGCATGTGACTAGACCTCACAGGTTTACAGAACTCCAACTGTACACGTTACTAAATTGCAGACGCTCTTATCACACGTCCACAGTGAACACGAATCATGCGGCTGAAATGGTTACATCATGTTTACCAATGCAACATAGTTTCAGAAAAATATGTGTTATGGTGGATGACATAGTGATCAGTGTCAGGAAGCTATTCATTTTAACTACAACTTCATGAAAAAAAATGGAGAATTAATAGCAGTTCAGTATCAACACTGTTGGGTTATGCAGGGAGGGATTCACAACGGTTAAATTTTCTAACCTAAGTAAGGCTTGTGTGCTCAGTGAAAGGTCACAGAAATTCCATAATTTCAGCCAGTTGCAAGAAGGAAAAAGAGAGACTGTGTGTGTATATTGGCTATATTAAATACGTAAAAATGTCTTCACTAGTACAGTGGGATATGTTGAAAGCTGACTTGTAAGGTAAATTAAGGTGGCCCCCACTATCTTAAAGTCTTATAAATCAGCCAAATTGTAGTTCATTTTAAGTCCAATAATGTCAACGGGTTACTCTGAAGGTTAGGTTTAGGTAGAAGGTATAGTAAAGTAATTAAATTATTATATAAATACATTGCATTTATGAGATGTCTTGACTAATATACATTACAATCTGTAAAATGTTTTATGTCATTGAAAGTTTCTTATGCTCACCAATGCTGCATTTATTTAATCAAATACAGTAAAAACAGTAATATTATGAAATATTAAAGGGTTAGTTCACCCAACAATGAAAATTCTGTCATTAATTACTCACCCTCATGTCGTTTCAAACCCGTAATACCTTCGTTCATCTTCGGAACACAAATTAAGATATTTTTGATGGAATCTGAAAGCTGTCTGACCCTGCATAGACAGCAACGCAACTGAAATGTTCCCAAGTCCAGAAGCTGACACAGAACAGCATACGTTGTTTACGTCCAGCTGATATTCTCCAAAATGGCACCAGGGTGATGCGGTGGAGACAAATTGTTGAATAAAGTCGTTTTTTTTTTCTTTTGCGCACAAAAAGTATTCTCGTAGCTTCGTATAATTGCGGTAGAACCACTGATGTCACATGGATTATTTTACAGATCTCCTTGCTACTTTTCTGGACTTGGGAACATTTCAGTTGCGTTGCTGTCTATGCAGGGTCAGACAGCTCTCAGATTCCACCAAAAATATCTTAATTTGTGTTCCGAAGATGAACGAAGGTCTTACGGGTTTGGAACGACATGAGGGTGAGTAATTAATGACAGAATTTTAATTTTTGGGTGAACTATCCCTTTAATACAATTTAAAATAACTTTCTAGTTTAATATAAACTGTAATTTATTCCTGTGGTGGCAAAGCTGAATTTTCAGCATCATTATTCCAGTCTTCAGTGTCACATGATGCTTCAGAAATCATTCTGATATGCTGATTTGGTGCTCAAGAAACATTTATTATTATCATCAATGTTGAAAACTGTTATGCTGCTCAATATTTTTTGGGAAACTGTGATACTTTATTTCAGTATTCTTTGATTAATAGAAAGTTCAAAAGAACAACATTAATTCTAACATTATAACACTATAAATGTTTTTACTGTTACTTTTTTTTTAATCAATTTAAAGTGTCCTTGCAAAAAAAAAAAAAAAAAGTATCAATTCTTAAAAAAAAAAAAACCTTACTTACGCCAAATGTATCTACACCTTTAGCACAAGACTGTCCCCGAAGGTGAGCTAAACTTGACAAAATGCTAATTTGGGGAAACTGATATATGAGTAAAATACATTTATTTCTGAAAAAATAAGCAACGTTTTTTCTAAGGGTTAGAGTGTGGGTTTGGGTTAGTACAGTATTTAAAGCGAGTGTATAGTTTAAAATTAATATAATGTATAGAAAAACAATTTAAAAACCTGATTGCTTTATGTTATATGGATATCTCTTCCATTCCTGGACCATTTCAAGTCATGGATTATAATTCTAACATCCACATTAATACCTCATAACAATTCACCAGAACAAGCATTCAGAGTAAGTCTACTTTACTCTAAGACCACATACACTACTGCTATCCTAAGCCACATTCTCTGGTTCTGAAAAAAGCATTAAAGATGGCCTGTGAGACTGAAACTCCATTTGTTGTGCTTGTGGTGTTAAGTTAAGGTATGTATTTTGATAGTCTGATAAATTATCAAACTATAAGCCTGAAGCTGATAACTGGCTGCCAAGGTCAGGATAGATGCCAGACTCCTCTTGTTCCTCCTCTTATTTGTCCTGCCCAGCGCATACCAACAGCATAAACTTGGTAGATGAAGACGAAAAGTTCATTACTCCACATATTTCAAATAGTAAGGGACCATGAAGTGAGAAAAGCAGGGATACATATTAACACTGCACACTCGAATGCGAATCAAAATCACATAAACAGTCAAGTATAGGGACAAAACTTCAACAAACAAACCAGTCCAAATTCAGAAAATAATTGGTTTCTTTCACTGAATATGTTCCTGCTGTTTCTTTCTGAGTAGCTCAATTATACCAGGCTTTGGGCAAATAGTGCACAGGAAGCAAAAGAAAGTGTTTGAAGTCCTATTAAAAACCCTGATGTGAGATTATTAAAAGATTAGCCTAACCTAGTTTCATCTGAACGCTCTCTTTGTTTGTCCATGTGTCCCGCAAACAAATAGCCTAGCTTTAAGACAGAATCATGAAATGTGCACTGATACATGCCACTGATTTCAAACTGTAATTGTAGAAATAATCCTAAATTCAAAGTTTAGTTTGTATTTGCCTTTTCCTACATCCAGCAGAACTGAGAGGGAGAATACCAGCCATGTGGAAGAAAAAAACTGTGCTGAATGACTAACACACATACAGTTGAGTTAAGATGTAGAAAATACTTACCATTAGGCCCAAAACACTCCACATGTATGTAAACAATGGCGCGTCTTGCTACAGTATGTAGTTTCGTGCATGCTTGCGTTCCGAATTTCGTTGACATTGACGTAAGGAACGGGATGGCGGGAATTAGTATAAACGTCTTTCTTTACCATCAGTTTTCTATTTCAGTTAAGCACTGTCATGTTGGAGCAACAGTTTGTAATAGGCTATCTAAAACTGTTATACAAAAACTGTTAATCAACATTTCTTATCTGTTATTAATAAGGCTGCTTGAAACTCAACACAAAGCTGTCATCACAGTTCGTTCGAGCTCTGTTTTGGCATATAATGTCATAGCGTTCTGCCGTCAGTCAAAAGGTCTGGCCACGCGAGACTAATTATGTCAAAGCATGATTTAAGTTGTTTATGCTGGGGAGAACTATCATTTTCATTGTTTGATAAACAGTCTGACGGCTCATGTCTTAAATCTCCACTTAAATTTCGACAGCCTTGGATGTTAGTTTGAGACCCATTTGAAATAAATATTGGTACGTAGGTTTCTCGGAATATTCACTAAAACGTCAATTAGTGTAACAACAAGCGATATATTGATTCTGTTAGGCCTAGATCAATCATGCATCATCATTACTGTAAGCTGCACTGAATTAAGCCTCAACATAAAACATGAATGACAGATCTGAGAGAGTTTACAGTAGGCTAAATGTGACATAGGCTATGTAGCACACTGAGATAATAGTGCACTCTTGTGGACGTTGGAAGTGGTCACACTCAAGCTGAGCGAAATTTAAATTGCTCTCTGTGCAAAGCCAAAAGTCATGCACCATTCAGTTTCATTTCCTTTATATTCTTTGTTTTAATACTATCACACTTGACTTACGTACACAGAGCAATAAATCAGCAATAGTGAAATGCCCATAAGAACATAGAAAGTATAGCATTCAGAATGTAAGACTCTGGACTTAAAAGTCAGGACATAAGAAAACAAAGTCTTTCCGTTTTGTCTAACTGATTCACTGTGGTCATGCGATTTCTAAACAGGCCCGCTACACTGCATCTACTTCCGTAGCCACTTGGGGAAAGAAAATAAAAACAGTGCTTGTTTGAGTGTGGCTTCATCCATCATCCACCGGCTGTCTATAAAAGTAGGCAAAGAAATTATCCAGATAAGACCACACAATCAAAATAAAACATTTATTTCTACATAAAGAGCAAGGGAATTATATTCTGATCTAATTCCATTACAAAGGTTTTGAATAAATAAAACTATTACAGATGGAAACAATTGTTACAGTGATAATAAAAACTACAAATTCTTGAAGATCATTTCCTTTCCACAAACTATGAAAATATATTTATATTCATGGTTTGCATATACGCCACATGACCAATCACATGGATTCAAACTATAAGGAATTTTGTATAAATTAATTATTGTAGCTTATTTATACCAAATACATATTTGTGACAGGCAGTTTAGAAACGTATGCAACCTCCAAATATTCTTAGGTTTTCACACGACCCACGATTAACATTACATTTCACATGGTCACCTCATTTCCGATACTGCTGAAGATCACTGTATATGTCTGATTGGACTCCATAAAGTTCCTGTCAAATCATTATGAAAACAAATCTCACAAATATGTTGCATTTACTATAAATACTACTTTATTTTTAGTTTTGTAGATTAAAAAAAAAAACTTTTGTGGTACATTAAACATAGCTGAAATTGCTCATTTTACCTGATAAGGTGATTCCATTTCAATCGTCTTTGGCCTCATTGATGGCTGGTGAGTTTTTGCTTTACCTTAAACATCAGAAAAATGTTGTCATTTTGACTGGAACAGCTGTAATTCTGTATTGATCTTTCTTACAAACAGACATACCTGACCCACAGCATCTGGCATGTGTATGTAAACTGCCTCTTCTTTTCTGATGGGAAATGAAACAATAGACTGAGAGAGCAATGAAGAGTGTGAGGATGATGTCACAAGTGATGATTCCAATAGCCACTCCGATGTCCAGCTGGTAACATGAAGTGCAGTCTGAGAATCAGAAAAACACATTGGCACATTCATTGTAATATGCCAAAACAAGGAAAAAAAAATAAAAAATCAACAACTGAATTTCAGATATCTATGGAGGAATTACCTTGATTCCCCTCAACAAAGCCAGCTGATGAAAGTGAGAACAGAAGAGAAGGGAGATAAATTTTTATAATAGCGTGTCCTCAAGGCAATTAACAGAACTGAAAATGCCATTTCCTCTTGATTTCTTGCATTAATCAATGAGTTCATATAAATCCACAAACAAAACACATACACAAATAATTCTGTAATTCCGTTTTTCACAACCCCATTAAACCTATACAGCTTTATATTTATATTTATATTGGCTGGAATCCTTGGCAGGTTTTTCCAGAAATAAAAATCAATTCATGATATACTATTACAGACATTATACAAAATACGTACATAATATATACATATTTAATGTAGAATATACAATAAAGTATATAATACTGTGTAACTTAAAAAAATTAAATCTTGTTATGCTTTCTCTACATAGTTATTGAATTACCACCATCTATCATCTTGTTGATTGTTGTGCTGAAAATGATGCCAAAATCTGTGTTTCATTTAATTTGTGAAGAAAATATATATAAATGATGTTGAAGTTCATTTCAACTTAAAACCTTATGAGTATGTGAAAGTTTGCAAAATGCACTCACCGAGTAGTCCATTCATGGGGACCATTAGGTATAGAATCCTTCTCATAATGAGTACAGGTTTTGGGAGAGAATTGCTCAGGGTTGGTGAAGCCTTGACTTGAGGTCTCTTTAAAAGAGCACAAGAAGTCTTTACTGCCCGTGAGCTAAAACACCTTGAATATGAGACTGAATGATATGGAAATTGCCTGTGTGTGAAAAATCACAGAGTATGTGCTGATGACTTATCACCATCCATCAAAATAGAACCAAAGGCTACTGGGGAGGAGCTACACGTGCTGATGTGCTATCCCTCGCTCTCTCACCCACACACACTTAACCTAGCTCAGGATTTAATTTCTTTACATTTTATCCTGTTAGTGTTAAAATACTTCTAGGTTTAAAGTACAAAATTAAATTGAAAACTAAATCATACAGTGAGCATACAGTTCATTTACATTACATGCAGCTGAAAATATATGCGTTTTCGTATGTCCTTCTTAGTAAATGTATAGTTTCACTTCTCAGTAAGTTAGATATGTGAGCAAGAGGCTAGTGAGAGGGACCTGGGTGTTAATGCGGTTAAAAGCCTCACAGCACAGGATGTGACTACTAAAGCCAGTATCTGATAACCCCAAACAGGTACAAAGCAAAACTTATATCCTGTTCCACTTACAATATCTTTTTATATAAAAAAAGGATGTTGGTTTTTACATCAGTGATACAGGAGTGTGTAGTTCAGTTTCACCTGAAGACCTGCCTTGTTTAGTAGATGGACAAATTGATGAGGTACTGTTAGGTTATTTCCTAAATCTCAGTCCGACAGATAAATGACCTTTGCCTTACAGTACCTTAAAGCACATGAGCTTTTTAAAGATTATCCTGCATAGTTACATAACTTAAAAAATGCAAAAAAGTGTTTGTGATGTTTATATTTATGCATTGAGTGTATTTAAAATAATTTGTAGATTGTAAATACATATCAATGG